TCAAGTGAAAGTATGTGGACTTCAGCTGGTGGTTCTCAAGTGGAATACTACAACTCCAGTCCCACCACTGATGTTTTTAAAAAACATGTTGGAGCAACTTAGAAGCAGCTGCAGCAAAAAGCATGCCTGCCTGCATTACATGATACAGGAACATGGGCCATTTCTGCTGCAGCTCTTCCTGGTTCTGCTCCAACGTGCCTCCAGAAAAGTGAGATGCACAGAGCAGTTCTATCTAGTGGCACCTTTTATCTCCAAGCTGCTGCTACCATCGGCAGTGGGTGCACTGCCTTGCCTGCACACACTGGTTTTCAGCAAGTGTCAGTGTAGCAAAACCCCCCGTTTTGTAGCAAAACTCCCTGTTTTTCCCTTTTTATTTATTTTAAAATTAATTCCCTCCCCTTCCCCAACATTTCTGACTTCTTCTCTCCCTCTCTGTTCCCTATAGATAAGTATAAGTAAGCTAAGATGTAGGATAAGCTTTAACATTTTATTTTACGTAGTACGTTTTATTTTTCTCTCCCCTCTTTGCAAATAAGTGCCCTGCTATTTCAATATTGATACCCACTATTTTATAAGCAATAATTATTATGTTTGTACTGCTTTTATATTGTGTGATTACTGTTTTAGGCCTACATATGTAAGTTAGCATAAGTCATGTAAAGTTTATGTCAAGCCTCCTTCTTGTGTCCTCTGCCCAGGCATCCCCTGTGTTGCAACTGTATAATTCATGTGCCCCTCCTATGTAAACTGGTTCCCAGATGAAGGAGAGTGATTGGGAATGATTAAAATTAAATGGTAGCAGGCTTCTATTGAATGGCTTGTAATGACCAGGCCATCACCTCGCATTGATTCATCCAGGAACCACAGCCCTCACCCAGGAACAGAGACAAGAACCCAGCATTTGAAAGACAAAAGACCCTGCAGAACCAACAACTCTACCATTGTACCCCACCATTACAGACACCCAAAACTGCACATCCCTGCATGAAGCACACATGCTCAGTACACCAGGGGCTGACCCTTGCCTGGGCATGCCTCCTGTCACTAGGGTCACACAAGGTCTGCCCCTATAAAAAGGGACGGTGAAGACAGACCCAGTGGGACGCCCTCTCCATCTGGACCAGCACCATGCCACACCACCTAATCATATGTAGGCCAGAGGCCCTGCTGGCAACCCCCCTCTGGACAACACCTACTGGACAAGGACCCCTTTCCAGCCTGAATAGGTAACTATCACCCCACAACCCCCTCTTCAACCAAGGACTTGAACTCTGCTTCTCTTCCCTACCTGGACTTCAACCCTTCCACTGAGTCTTTCTCCCACTGCCAGAGTGTGTGCGTGCATGTGTGCAATATACGAATTAGTGATCTGTGTCTAACTTTTGTGGCGTATTGTGTATGTGCTTGAACTGGTGATAGGTACGCATGTGCCTATGCTAGTTTGGATGTGTGTGCGTGCGTGCACCTAACTGATTTGTGTGTTTGTATATGTGCAACTGTGTCACACCCTCCTATCTAACAGCACAATATTGACATCCTGAGAGTTGGCCTGACCCCACAGGGCAACATCAGACCTGAACCAGGAAGAGCTGCAGAAGAAGCAGCATGCCTGCCTGCACAGCATAATGCAGGCAGGCTCGCCTTTCTGTCACAGCTGCCTCTGCAGAAGGCACAAGGAGCAGTTCCACCTAGAAACAGCAGCACTGGCCTCACCACTCTTCACCTGCTCTCTTCCCCTTCCTAGGCCTCGTGTTCTTCTACACAGCCCTTGTCCCTCCCACCCTTTCAGCACTTCCCATGTGGTGCATGTGCAGTCTGGCACCTTGTCGGATGCCGGGCATCCCTGGACTCTATCGCTTATAGCCCCAGTTCTAGCATTCAGAAGGCACAGCCCTGAGATAACTACGGGAAGAACTTGGTCCAGTTACCCCCACTCCCCACCAGTGACTTGGAGCCATGTACAGGGAATCATTGCTGTAGTGGCTGCAAATGTGCTCTGGGCCAGGCAGTTAGGGTCTGAAGAAGGAGAAAATAATATAAACATATAATCAATTAATAGCATTAATCATAGAATGATAAAGTTTAGATGATAATATTAGTAATATATTTATATTAGCTTTATAAATGGGATGCTACTAAATTCTGAAAAGTTTTAGAGGGATACCTAGGGTCTATAAAGGTTGAGAACCACTATCTTCCGTGGATTTTCAGTACTTTTGAAACTGTATGAGAGTGCACAGTATCTACAGAAATTATGCTCTAAGGTCAGGAATGTCTCTAAAAAAATCTTGTTTTTTAAAATGCCATTATATTCCTCAGAAATACCTAAAACAAAAATTTGAAAGTCACTAGCCAAAACAGAAGTTTCTCCTTTTAAAACTTCAGTTTACCTTTTGGTTCTTCGACTTTCTGTGATTTTAGGCAAGTCAAGTAAATCCTCAATGAGTATTATAAGATGATAAAAATACTTTGAAGCCCTCAGATAGTAGAAGACACTCCTATAAAACCTTTTATCAAAAAGATGACTTAATGACTTTTAAAAAAAATAAGACATTGGCCCTTGGGTTTAACTGCCTGGGCAGCCAACTATGGTCTTAGCCAGGAGTGTCAAACACCCTGGGGCCATTCCAGACTGCTGGGCTCCTCCCAGACCAGATCTAAAGACTAGTGGCAGCTGCAGCAGGTGTGGAGGAGGCATGTCCCAGGGTGTAGTGCCAACAGTAGTCTATCTAAAAGGGGCAGCAGCAGAGAGGTCTGGCAGGTGCAGGGCAATTAAATAAAGGTGCACTGATACATTGGTCCATATCATATCAGCACCGATAAAAGGAAAATTGCTGTTATCAACAAATTGGCTTTTTTTGGTTGATGTGGCCAGTAATGTCGCTGATAAATGCTGCGTGCATTCTTTTAATAAAGTGTATCCTTTTAATAAAAGATAGGGCCAGTTTTAATCCTGTCAGCCTACCATGTCTTACCTCCTCTAGAAACATATCCCTCTACTTTACCCAGCTCCAAAATAGTCCTCAAAACAAGCTTTAATAGAAGTCCCAAAGACTTCTAATAGCTAAACTCTTTTGACAATACCACTAAGTGCTTGTCCACACTGGATGAGTTCTTGCCAGAACAGACAGCCTTGACTGTCACCTATGTTGTTAGTATGTCCTGGGAGAGAGGCAACTAGAAGATTTTTTTTGACTGGAGAATCCAATACCTCCCTGAGTAACAAGGTAAACACACTATAACAATCTTTTGTCAATTACAGTGGCTTTGCCTGCACAGCTACATTAGTTAGAGGGCGTGAGTTTTTCACACTGTTAGCCAGCAGAGCTATGCAACATTACACAGCATAGGCTGGGGGCAAGCAAAATACAGCCCATGGGGTGGATTCAGCAGCAGCACACAGCGTCCAGGCGGGGCTGCTGCTGCCACTGCTGCAGCTGGTGGGGGGCCTGCTGCAGCCCAGAGATTAGGGTGGGACTTCTTTTGAAAGATGTCAGGCTCAGATTCTGGCGGGCCTCAAGACCAACAGAGTTCCAGAGCTGAGGAGCAACTGCCAAGAACAATTTCCTACAAATTTTCATCAAGCAGATTTGGTGAACTGATGTTACTTGCAGAAAGCTGTTCTTGGATTGCAATGGGAAGTACAGTAGAAGAGGGTGTCCTGGGTGCAATGGCCAGAGAGAATGCAGAGGGTAGTTCTATTCACCTCCACAAATGAAAGAGTGGTGAAGGAATGAATAAAAAGCAGTGAACATTCCAGCTCGTATGACAAAAAATTACTGACCCAGCCAAACTATTTTATAAAACCCCCCAGCAAAAAGCATATTTTCAGCACTACCACCTTCAAAAATCAGCAAAAAAGTGCTCCCACTAAAGCACATGCTCACATATATAGATAGATACATTTTCTTGATTTATATATCTGGAAAATCCATAAATACACACTTAGCCTTACCTAGCTTCTATTTCAGGTAGTCTATTTCCTAGATCAGGGGTGGGAAATTATTTGGGCCTGTAGGCCACATAGGGAGTTTTGATGAGTTGTGGGCCAGGTCAGCACACCCCACAACCCTGCACAACAGCTCACCAAAACTTAAGTGGCTCTACACTACGCTGAGCTGGGGCCACGGGTGGACCTGGGGCTGGGATGGTGGGGTGCTGACAACGCAGGGCCAGTGCCCAGAGCACAGCTGTGATCCACTACCTACATGTCCCTGTGACAGGCACCAGTTTCGTGAGCAGGGGTGTGCAGGGAGTGGATCACAGCTCTGCCCCAGGCTCCAGGCTCTCCATGGAGACCGGCTGGGACCCACATGCAAGCAGACAGGATGGGGCTGCGGCAGGCACAGAGCTGCATCTGGGGCCAGGGCCCAGAGCAGAGCTCCAATCCATTCCCTGCATGCCCCTGCCCATCACAGGGCCATGCAAGCAGCAGACCATACCTCTGCCACGACCATGGTCCCGGCCCCACACTGTCACCACCCCACAATCCCGGCCTTGCCCACCTGCCCTGATCCCAAACACCGCTCCCCACCCACCCACAGCCCCGTGCCTTACCCACACAGGTCCCACCCACAGCAGCAGGTGCAGGACTGATGGACCGTGGTGTCCAGGCAGCAGGGGAAGTCCAGCCACCACACTGTCCCAGCCCCACTATGTGCCTGGGAGCATCAGGACCGGCAACACACACCCTGGCCTCCGGGCTGGGCGTAACTGAGGGACCTGCCATAGGCTGGGCAAAATCTTTCAGTATGCCAGATCCAGCATGCAGGCCATAACTTGCCCACTCTTGCCCTACATACATTTGGCAAAGTAAGAATTTACATCACTAACATAAATTGAAATTAAAGACAGTTAAAATACTAGATGTGTATGTTCAATTCATAACCAGTAACGCCAACACATTCCATGATTAAAATGTATATCTGTAATCCAAAATAAAAGCAATACATCTATATTTGAAGAAAAGGAAGAAAAGAAAAGAAAACTTTAGAACTTACATTGACTTTAAAGCTTTGTATTGAGCCATCCAGAAAGTGGATGTTACAGATAATCTCCGATCGGGTCTTCTCTTTTGGCAGCTCTGATGCACGTATATTATTTATCCTCCCACCTAATGCTCGTAACCGGGAGTTCATTACTATTTCTGAATAACCTGCAAAGCAAAAAATGTATTTAATAAAACCATTAATTATAAAAGATACAATGTCTCATAAGTGATTCATCTGTCAATTACTTCTGATAAAAAATGGGATTTACAGACACTTCCCACCCTCTATCCACCTTTTATTCTACAGTAAGTAATGATAGTTTCCAAAAAAAAAAAATTGGGTCATATTCTTTCAAAAATCTTTATCAGGTAAAAAACAAAGTTTGGGATAAAGATTAGCCAGTGAAAGTTGATGCTTATAAATGTTATGCGAGCTTAAAAAATGCTAACTCGTATAGTTAGCAGCCAAGGTTTTATAAACATAATTGACAAAAGAAACCAAGAGATTACAAATAGGAATTTAGTGTTAAATACATTCTGACCTACTGTGGACTCTTTGAGTTATTTGCACCCAAAAAAAAAAAAAAAAATCTATTATTTTTCTATAGTCAAAAAAAAAAATCAGTGAAAAATAAGCTGCCATTATCTGAAGCATGTCTAGAATCAAATGAAGGGTGCTTCAAGTCTAAAAAAGGTTGAAAATGACTGAACTAGGCTTTCTAGCTCATTGAATCTGGGCTGGAAACTGAAGTACCCAGTAAATACCAATCTTTGTAAATTTATTAGAAGATGTTTACAATAAGACCTGTACAATTTGAATCCTCAGTAGACCCCAGCCAGAATAATTAAGACATGGCATGTAAAGCTTCTAGGGTTCTCCTGTTTTGCAACCCTAATGTAAAATTTAGTTGTGTTTTTGTTTGTTTGTTTTTAAATAAAGATGATTGAAAACATAAAACTTTATTCTGTAGCATCCTCTCAACAGATATTTGAACTGGCACACGCTTACCTATTGACTAGTGTTTCCTGTGCAATTTTGGTAAAACTGGCATTTCAAATGTATTAGGGCAGATATTATCAACAGGCAAATGAAAATTAATTCAAAGTCATGCTGCAAAGTAATTCAGCATTTTACTCAGCAAACAGAACACTATATGATCTCCCCCAGAGAGAACACTTCTTGCATCCCAGCATTCCATGAATTCACCAATAAACTGATACCAAAAAATAATTTATGTACAGACAGTAAAACATAACAGAGAAAGAAATGAAGCAAGGCTGAGATGCAAACTTGCTTCAGAGTGGGATTTTACAGAAGTAGTGTAATGAGCTATCTTGGCATTACAGTCTCTATAAAACATACGATATACTCCTTCACAACAGAAACATTCAATGTCACGTCAAGCATGCAAAGATATGCAACGTCGGCCTTAAATAGTTTTTGTTTATTGGCCAATTGATAGACATCTTTAT